AGGTGGGGTTTGGCGTGTGTGTGTGTGTGCGTGTGTTTTCCTGCGTGTGTGTGCATGTATGTGTGAGCGTGCACGTGCGTGTGTGCTCGTGCGTGTGTGTTTGCGTGCATGATTGCGTGCGGGCGCGGCAGTGTATTAGGGGGTGTGGGCGGGAGTGGTTGGGAGTTGGTCTGTGTGTGTTGTGTTCTGGGGCGGGTTGCTTTGTGGGACGTCCCCCCTTTCTTGGTGCCGCAGTCTGGGCGGCATCGCAGCAGAGGCCGGCTCTGTCGCAGGGGAGGGCAATCGATCCAGGCGCCAGGCTGCCCCTCACCAGGCCGCGTGGCTCGCGGGTCGCAACCACAGGAGGCCAAGAAGCTGCTGGAGGAGAAGTTCAAGACGGGCAAGAACCGGTGGTTCTTCACCAAGCTGCGCTTCTGATCGGGGCCCAGCGGCGGCTGCGCGGGCTCAGGGTGTTGCCGGCAAGGGCCCTTGCGACTGCAGCCCTTGTAACAAGCAGCTGCTGCGTGGATGGGTGGGGCCGGGCCAGGCAGAGCAGGATTCAGTTGAGTGACGACCAGTGCTGCCCATTCCGCCGAAAAGCATAAATGCCCGTCGATGAATCAGAAGTTGAGGATTACGGCTGCGCATAGCAAAGCAAAGCGTGAGATGGCGCGGGCACAATCAGCAGAGGTGGACTGCATGCACCTGCACAGCAACCCGTCATCCACAGGTGAAAGCCTGCCGCAATGCTGCTGGTCACCGTTCTCTCTCACTGCGTGCCCGCTGCCTCAAAGCCGGCAGCTTCTGCAGCACAAGCACAGCCGGCTCCAGGCCCATGGCAGTCTAGTGAGTGAGCTGGACACACATGCAGCTGCAGGTTAGCAAAATGGATGACTCTCCACTTGTTACAACGCTCAGCATGGGGGTTATGATGTACACAGCTGCGCAGTGCACTTGATTTTTTGCAGGGTGCACAAAGAGTGATGCTCCGCACGTGCCGCAGAGCACGCGCCGCTGCAATTCGTGTTGTGCCCCGAGCTCTGGACGTGCTGGGCGCCCCACGCCCTCACAGCAACAGTCAGCGAACTCGCAGTGTGTGCAGACTCATGCTTGTGACTCTCGGAGCTGTCAAGCCCTCCGTTCCAAGAAGCGGCTCAGAGTCGTGAGTTGATGGGGCCGCCGTGCCGGCTGCACACCCGCAGCCACAACGGCCAGCCACGCAGGGGGGGTGAACACACGCGCGCAACGGGGTCAGAAGGGGCCGGGATGGGCGGATTGGGGTGCGCACAGCTGCGGCCAAGCCCCAGGCGCTCGCCATGGGGCGGGTGCTGGTGGCTGACGGCGTGGCTGCCACGGGTGCCAGGGTGCTGCTGCCTCCGCCCCTTGCGCAGGAGCGCGCCGCAGCGAGCATCCCGGAACAGCGCCAGCCGCGAAGCCCAGCTGGCCCTGCCCGCCCCCTCCTCGCCCTGGTGCGCCGCTCAGGGGGTCAATCGAAAGAACAATGTGCACCGCACATGGGACCGCGGCACACCTACTCCACCGTCGCGGCGTGCGCGCACAGCCGGACATGCACCAGCGCGCTGCAACACCGCCGCGCACTCCTCAACGCACAAGCTTGCGGCAGGGCTCGACTGCCCCAGGACACGCGGCGCGGCGGCATGTGCCTTGTGCGAGTGCGTCTCAATCTGTACTAGGTAGACCACTACAAAACCACATCCAGCAACGGGACGGGATGACAATGGTAGGCAATGCATGACATGTGTGGCGGGTCTCAAAATAGTGCTGTGCGCGACTGAACGATGGGTAACGACAACATTGGATTGGCAGCGACGGGGTGGCGCGGCCACGCGCACTAGCGCCGCACTCAAAAACACGGCCGCCACGCCGCGCCTCTTCAGGGCTGCCCCTCCCCCCTTCCGTCCCCAGGGCGCCCCCGTCAACCCCCCTCCCGTCAGCCGCTTGCGCCCCACAGGGCGCCCTGGAGGCGTGCGGGCTCTTTAAATGGTCAACGGGCGGTCAAAGATCCAGCTGAAGCTAGCCTCAAGGGGCTTGGCCTTGGTCCTGCGTGCGGCGGTGCGCTCGGCCAGCTTCCGGATGCGGTCGGGCAGCTTCACCAGGTACTCCTGGGCCTCGGCCGCGTCACCGCTCTCGTGGCTGCGGTCCGCAACCTGGGGGGTGGCGGATACCGGGTTGTTTGCGGCGACAGGGTTGGGGGAGGGTTGCAGGCCAAGGCTGCGCTGGAGCAGGTGCCGGGGCATGGTGCACGCAAGGGTTGGGGAGACTAGGACTAACTCAAAGGCAGCCGCTTCTGGGTTGTCGACCTCAAGAGCGGGGGACGGCAAGCCAACGACTGACCCGTAGTCGGGGCGAGCAGGGCCGCAGCCCTTGACCTCCAAACCCCAGGTCCTTCCACAACCTCATCCACCCAGAAATTGCTTCAGTTTCAGGGTTGTAGGGTACAGGGTTTTGCCAGGCACGCACCTTCCACTTCTTGATGAGGAACTCCATGATGTCAGCGTAGTCCATGGGAGTGTACACGCCCGAGCGCTCCGCGACGGCAGAGAAGTCCTGGAGGCACAACGGCAGCGCGAGGGGAGCGAGCACGGGGCGCTGAGCCGCTGCCGTGCGCAACAGCGCGTCTCCAGCGCACCCCCTCGAGTGCCTGACTAGGCCGTCGAGCCCACGCACAAGTCAAGTTGCGCCAACACACCCGCCGACGAGCTCAGCGCCCGGCGCACCGCGAACAGGTTGCGGCCGTTGTTCTTAGCCGCGTGCTCCCCGTCGTCCATGAGGTGGGCGGGCATCACGATCTGCTTGCGCATCATGTCGGCAAAGGCCAGGACCGCGCCGTCGGGGTCCTTCTCGTAGAGCTTCTCCACGATGCGCTGGTAGGCGATCTCGTGGCGGCCCTCGTCAGACGCAATGCTGCCGCACAACTTGGCAAGCAGCTGCAAAGAAACGCGTGCGTGTGAGAGTGAGTGTACGTGTGTGTGGTCGCATGTGTGATTGTGTGGTGTGTGAGTGTGTGTGAAGGGATGGAGCCCCCGGAGAAGGGCAGCATGCGTACATGCATGGGCGCGCCTGCGTATATGTATGCACACATTCGTGCATGGACGCAGGCGAGCAGAGCACAGTTGCCGGGGCGTGAGCGCATGAGAAACCGCCTGTGTTTGCAATGATGGCCACACTCTCAATTTCACAGGAGTCCTAGCTTGGCACAAACTGCACCCCCAAGAACAAGGTATAGCTGCGGCCCCAGGCGGCCCCTCACCTCATCGCCGTGCTCAAGGGCGTGGCGCGCCGTGTTCCCGTGGCTGACCTTGGTGGCGCGCTCCTGGAAGCTGGTGTACACAAAGCCGAGGTAGGGGTTGTTCTCAGTCTTGGGGTCCATGCCGCTCCCAATGAGGTTCTGGATGGTCACCTCAATCGACTTCATGTTGACCCTGCGCCGGTCGGGGGCGCCGGGGGGATCGAGGGGGGCCAGTGGGCGTGGGGCGCTGGCGGGGGTGTTGCCACGGCGCGCTTGCTGCCCCACATTGCAATGAGCGCCGCTGTCGATGCCATGCTGTGTTCACCCCTCAAACACCAGCACCATGCCCAAAACACCTCGCATCGAGCCCAAGCCAATGACAGGAGCAACGTGCTGCGCCCAGCCTCACCCTCCAGGCTCATCCCGCATCAACTCACCTGCTGTTCACAGCACAGGCAAGAGCCCACTCACCCCGCAATGCAGCCCCACCCACCTGCCAGTGAGGTACATGTACTTGTTCATGACGTCACCGTGGCGGTTCTCCTCCGCCGTCCATTCACGCGTCCACTTGCCCCAGGGCGTCGGCGAGGCACCCGTCTCGTCCCGCACACCGTCCAGGGTGTTGAGCATGGCCATGTAGGTGGGCAGGGCCTCCTCCGTGATCATGTCACCTGGGTTTGCACACATATTGCGCGAAGGAAACAACAAAGATTGAAGGGTTGGAAACTTGGTTGATTGAAGCACCAACATTGGATAGCTGCACTGCGCTTACCACAAAGTGAGTGGGTGGGTGGGGGAAGACAGGCAGGGCACTTGCCGAGAACGGTACATGCCTACTTGTGGCATCCCGAAGCGGCTCACCCACAAAGGAAATGAGGTAGTCATCGGGCAGGGCTGCAGAGCGCTTGCGCAGCTCCCGCACCTGCGTGTTATTCAGAGCGATGTGTTGTCAGCCGGGCCATGCATTACCAGGCGTGGGAAAAGGGCAGCAAGACCCGCCCTGTCCTCCGTTGTCCGATCACAAACCGCGCCGGCCTGCCATGCGACCTGTGCTGCGATGACGTCCCACTGCACACTGTCTACGCTCATTCTGGAAACATTGCACGACCGTCTACTGGCACTGCCAACAGTGACTGAGGTGTGTGGGCCTCGCAGGAGGATCGCACCTGGTCCATAAAGTAGGGGTCCTCAGAGGACGGCAGGAAGTCTGTGGGCTGCCAGCACTTTGAGGTCTCCTTCAGTAGCGGATAGACCTGTACGGGCGCGTGTGGAGGGCGCGCGCGCGCGCGCGCCGTCGTCGCCTCGTGCCCGCCGCACGTCGTCGCTGCAATACGGTTGCGTGCGGCTGTGACGCTGCGCCTCGACTCACCTCGCTCTCAACAAAAGGTCCCAAGGTCTTGACCAGCGCAAGGCGCTCCTTCGTTAGTGAGTGCAGCACCTGCCCGTCCATTATGATGGGCCCAGGCTTCGAGGTGCGCGGGGGCTCCGCGATCACGGCTCTGCAGGACACCACCCGTTGACGGCCAAAGCCTGTACAATTCATAAAGCAAGGGTGACGGCCGTGAGGGCGTGGCTTGCAAGCTGAGACCGCGGCCACTACGCTCCAGGGCGAGTAACGCACGAAACCCCGCTCTGCGAAGCACATGCATGCAAGGTGGGATGTTACACTTGCAATTGGGCCGTGTGGGCAGCCTCCTCACCGGCGGAGAGGGCCTGGGCGCGCTGGCACCCCACGGTCGTCGCCATTGCGTTGGCTCGCGGTCCTGCTCCTGCTGCTCCTGCAGTTACAATTCAACTAAAATCAGCAAATGTACGGGGGCCGGGAGGCGCGGGCTGGTGATCAGGAACCGCAGGTCAGCAGCGAGACGGGCAGCCGGGAGCTCAGAGTGGAAGGATCAACCGCTCAAAGCGATACAAAAGTACGATTCTAATATATGGATCAGCCGTAATAGAGAAAACCCCCTGCGTTTGGAAGCTGCGGCAACAATTCGGCACGTCGCTGTCAAACTGCTTCGCATGAGGCATCGTGCACGCAGCCAATGCCAGCTACGCGCAAACAGCGTGAATTTGGTTCAAGAGACGCGCGGGGTCCAGCCGGGCAAAGAGGACGGTTCTATGCGGCAGGGACGCTGTTGGCGGCGTGGTGTTGAGGCGTTTGATGATCGCCAGGGTGGGTGGCGGGGACGTGGGTTGGTTGCATGGCGTCCTTCCCCAATGTGGGCTTGTGTGCGTGCATTGTGCAGCAGTTGATGTGCCCATCTTAGCGCGTACAACCGTCTTTTTGCGCAAAGTATCAAAGCGTGAGACATAAGCCCCTCACGGACCCTCAACGATCTACTTGCTGCCACATGCCCTGTTTGAATGCTGTTGAGGGGCTGCTGGTGGCACCGTCATGAAAACATCGCATACCAAACCCGTCCAGGGGGTCACCAATCAGCCCCGCTCTCCCAAAGGCAAAGCCTCTCAACAACTGCACTGGTGGTCGGCAGGTTCGATGGTTTACCAAGACTGCAGTTCATGAACCGATGTGGCACCGCGTCGCATCCCCACCGGGATGTACGCAAAAAGGTACCAACGCAGCCAATCAGGGGCAATTCTCGACCTACCTTGCTCATGCAACGACCCTGTTGTGGACATAGCAATGCGCCGCGCTGACCACCACTTGCGCCGTGCGGACCCACGCACAGCCAGCCCCAGTGGCCTGCGCCAGTCATCTAACAAGCCCGTCCGTGCCCCAGCCTAGTACTTTCCAAGGTCGTTCATGAACTGCAGGGGCAGTCAGGCGTGTTGAAAGGGGGTCAGGAACGGGCAGGTTCGCAGCGCCTGAAGCAGAGCAAGCTGCATCCCAACACAGGGCCCACGACCGCAGGCACAGTGCGTGCCTGCTCCGCCACGAAGAACAGGCTCCACTTGGCAAGTTGCGACCAGGCTGCTCTCGCAGATGGACAAGCACCGGAACGCGCACGCCTGCCCCACGCGCCCCAAGCCGGCACGCACCTTGGAGGCCATGCTGGAGATGTTGCGCACGGCACTGCCCGCCATCTCCTTCACCTGGTCCAGGTCCTGCTTCGCGTGGAACGACAGCCGGTTCACCAGCTCCGCCGCCGTGAGGTCCAGGTCGCTGGCACCGCCGCCGCCCGGCCGCCGGCCGCCGCCACCGCCGCCGCCGCCGCCGCCGCTGCCGCCCGCCCCGCCGCTGCGGTCAAAGTACGCGTCGCTGCTGATGGCGGAGGAGCCAGAAAACTTGGACAGCCGGGACTGGCGATCGTAATCACTCTCCCCATTACCGCTCTCAAAGTCGCGGCTGCTGATCGCCTTGGCGTTGGCGAACCGCTTCTGCGCAACCTCCGTCTCGACCGCGGAGCTTGAGCCGCCGCGCTGGCCCGGGGCCGAGGGGCTCGCCACGGGCACGAAACCGATGCCGCCAAACGCCGCAGGGCCCGACCCCTTGGGCGCCACGGCGCGGCCGAGTGGGTCCCGGAAGAAGTCGTCGCCACCGAGGCCGCCGATTGTCAGGTGCCCGTCCTTGCCGCGCGCCGGCGCTGCTGCCGCAGCAGGCCCGCTGCTGCTCGGCGCGCCAGCGGCGGTGATGGTATCATACGCAAAGCGCGACGGCGCAGGCGCCGTGGGAGCGGGTGCCGCCGCGCCGCTGTCGCTTGGACCGCGCGGGGCCGCGGCAGCGGGCGCGGGCTTGGGCGCCTCGGGCGCGGGTGCCTGCTCAAACAGCGCCCCGTCCACCTTTGCCTCCAGCTTCTTCACGCCCAGGCCCAGCTTGCTGCCAGCGGGCTTGCGGGCACCGCCCAACACGGTACTCGCGGGCCGGGGTGCCGTCGCTGCGGTGGTGGCGGCGCACGAAAGGGGCAGCTAGAGGTTGGCGGCGGAGGGTAGCCTGCACTGCATGAAGCCCATCAGTGACAGCAACCCGTGCAAGCTGAGCGGGGTGCGTTGCACAGTGCGCCAATAAATTCTCACCTTGCCGGGGCACCACAGGCGCGGGAACCACCGGCACAGGAGCCGCCGCAACGGGCGCCGGGGCCGCCGCCGCTGGGGCCGCCACCACTGCCTCTGCGCCGCCAGAGCTGGCTGGCACAAGCGACCCTGCTGCCAGCTTGGCGGCCTCCTTCTCCAGCTGCGCTTTGTACAGCTGCGCCGCACGGCTGGTGTACTGCAGACTCATGGCAGCACGCGGCAGACCCTAGGTCAGGCCAAGAATCCAAGGGGCTGCGCCTCGCTCCTCATCTCAAAGCTCAGCACATTGCGTGGCGTCTGCGGACCAACAGCAACCGCGCCCCCTCCTCACCTTGCCCTCGATTTTGTCGGAGCCGGTCTCGTCCCAGCCGTGCTGGTTGAAGAACTGGCGCGCCTTGTGGTTGCCCCCCACGGCCATCAGCTGCGCAGGCCGCAAAAAGAGCAGCGCCAAGAAGCCGATCAGCACTCACATGTGTCGTTGCTGAATTGACAATTTGTGGACGATGCATGCACTCGAGCTCGTCCTCTTGCTACTACTAGTGCTGCTGCTGGTGCGATGGCTGCTACAGAAGTCCTATGGGGCGGGGGGCGACTCAAGAGCGAACTCACCCGCAACTGCTCCTCCGTCCAAGTGTCCAGGGTGGTCGACCTGCAGCAGGTGGGCACACCAGGGCTGAGTGCGCACGCAAACACTCAAGTGCTGAGGACGGCGCCCATGATGCTGATGCAGCGATGAGTACATACGACCATACCGCTGCAGCGGCGTACCCAACTGCCTGCCGACTGCAGCGCCCCCAGCCGCGTCGTTGCCTCACCGCACGAACGACACGTGCACACCCAGGCTACGGTGGATGCCTGCGCAGGCCAGGCAGATGTACACGCCATAGGGGACTGACGCCCAAGTGGGGTTCTTTGCCGGGCAATCGAAGCAGACCTGCAACCCAGCGTGTGCATGCGCGGTTGCAGGTTGGCAGCGAACACGCAAGCAAGCCAAGGGCATGCGGCAAGTCGCGCAGCATCTGGGCCTGGGCGTCGTACCACAGCGTAACCGCTCATGTATCACGCGCGTGCATATCAAGACATGCCTTTTTTGTCAAGGCCCACCACCAACTGGGGCGGGCGGTGGGCGAGGGTGAAGAGCACGAACTGCAGCACCCCGGAGAGGGTTCAAAAATGCAAAGCCCAGAGACCTCGTCGGTCACAATCACGTGCGGGTGGCGAACCAAGGCCGGAGAGCCCGCCAACCTTGTTTTCAGGCTTGCCCCTGAGCTTCCTGAACAGCGTGTCGCGATCCAGCGGCCCCTCCATAGCTGATTTACAAGTACAAGTCCCTATTCGTGATATAAAGGAGCGTCGAGCGGCCTAGCACTCACACGGGACGCTGGCCGGATGTCTATGTTGCGGTGGCCTGTTGCCTCGCTTACAGCTGGCCAACAAAAGAAGCACGGATGCTTCTAAATATAGCAGTGCTTGATATGCGGGAGCCTGCGGCAGACCCCAGCAAAATCAGGAGGGCGAAGGCTTCACCGAGGGCAGAAGCTGCCGCGCGACCGGAAAGAACGCCACCTGGGCACACACATCGATCGGAGACCCTTGGTGACACGACCATGCATGTCTTGATGGAATAGCCCTCTTCTTCTCCAGATCACTCTGTGCTCTACACTGTTTCCTCCCCAGTGATTGCTCATCCCGCATCTTGGTTTCTGTAGCAAGCGGCATAAAGTGCACAATCCATTCATAAAACTGGCAGTCCTCCAGGCCCTGGAAGTTTGAAGCGTGCCGCCGCTGCACCGCAGCAAGCAGCAGGACGCCCTCGCCTGACCCTCGCAGTCATTAGGTCAAGCCAGGCAGGTAGCCCCGTAAGGCGCGGCGGCCCAGCCGGGCAGCCACGATGTCACAGAACAGAGACAACTTCCGGGCAAACCAGCCGCCCTCAAAGGTGAGCCAAAAGACAGCGCACCGGGGGCGCCGTGGGGCGTCGAGCAGGGCTCTGTCAAGGGCTGCACCGACGCAGCCGCCGGTGGCCGTGTCATATGAGGCGCACCAATGCAAAGTGCAGCCGGGATGCTAAACGTGTTGCCGCGCTCCTGCCGCTCCGCACGGCGCGCTGTGCCAGGTGCTACATGTCCGCAACCTCCCGCCGGAGGCCAAGGAGGCGGATGTGCTGGGGCTGTGCCGCCCTTTTGGCCGCATGGTGCGCATCAAGCTGACAGGTGCAGGCACCATCAAGAATCAGGTGCGGCCTCCGGGAAGCTCCTGAGGCCCCCTGCAGCGCCCATATTAGGGGAGCAAGGGGTGTGCCCCCTCACGGGTCGCTGCCGCGGCGTGGCCAGGGCAGGCGTTTATTAGTGCAGAGGTCATGGTAAGAACTCCGCGGGCCATGTACCTCCGCAGCTGCTGCCGGCCCCAAAGAACCCGTCCTCTCTCCACGTCCCTTGGCCTCGGCAGGCGTTTGTGGAGTTTGTTGACATGCGCTCGGCCATCCACATGATCAGCTACTTTGTGGGCAACGCCGACCCCCCCAGGGTGCGCGCTCGCTGCGCCGCCGCCTTGCTTGCGCTTGCGCGCGCAAATCCGGCCCGCAGGCGGAGGCGGCACCAGCCCACCCCCTTGCCTCTGGCTTGATGTGCCAGCTAAGCGGGCCGAGACTGCCAGCTGTGCGGGATAAGAGGCTCGCTGGGTGCTCTCTGCTGCAGTCTTCCGAAGACAGCGCCTTCATATGCCTCACCGCCGCGCCGCAGCAAGCAGCAGCATCCCTCCACCGGCCCCCCTGTCCCCCGTTGCCCGCGCCGCCCCCCCGCCCATCCGCCTCCAAACATGTGTGCTCCTGCGCAATCTTCAACCGCCGCGCCCCTCAGGTGTGCCAGAAGACGGTCTACCTGCAGTACAGCACGCGCCAGGACATCGGTGGCGGCATGCTGGTCGCCGACATCCCCCAGGCCGCCGCAGCAGGCCCTGTGCTGCTGGTCAAGCTCGACTGCGCCAACGTGAGCTCCACGCGGTGGTGGGCGCCAGCTTGAATGACTGGGGTGCAGCCCAGGTTTCGGTCCGGGCCGTGCTTGTGCTACACGCGACCAAGGAAACAGGTGCAGCGGCCCGCTGCGGCCCTGTGTGCCTCTGCATGTGCTGACATCCGGGGTGGCGGGGGCAGGACGCACGCCTTGCATCCCCATCTCCCCGGCTCCCATCGCCAGCTTCGCCCCTCCCACCCTCCCCCAATCGCACTAGGCCTCTGTGGGCCCCAGCCTGGACCACCTGCACACGATGTTCAGCTCCTTTGGGGAGGTCACGAAGATTGCCATGTCTGAGGCACAGGGCGGGCTGCAGGCGAGTGTGCCTGCGCGTGGGCGGGCGCGATGGGGCAGCAATGGCAGTGATCACCGTAGCCTCAGCTGCGCCGCGGTCGTGCCCGGCGTCCGCCGACGCGGCCCGTTTGGCCACGCGTCGCGCCACACCAGCTGCCAGCCGACCAACAGGTCCTTCCCCCCTGACACTCAGTGCTGCTGCCACCCCTGCTGGCCGCCCCGCCTGACCTCGTGCGCCTCTTGCACACGCAGGCGTTGGTGCAGTTTGCAGAGGAGACCGCCGCGGCAGAGGCCCAGAAGGGCCTCGACAACGCCCAGATCCCCTCCTACATGACACCCTCGAGCCCCGCGCCAGTGACCATGAAAGTGTCCATCAGCCACCATGCCGACCTGGCTCTGCGCGCGCAGAGCGAGCGCGCCAGGTGCGCTGACAGCGCTGCGCTGCCCCTGCGCGTGCCGGCCAGCGCCTGAGCTGCGCGGCGCTTCGGGTCACCTGCGACGGTTGGAGCAGCGGGTCGTCCCGTCGAGACGTGCGCCCGCTTGGCGGCGGTGGCGGCGAATCGGCCGTGTGCATCGCCGGTCGCTCCAATGCACTTGCCGTACCGCGCCACCCCTGCCCTCCTTGTGTGAAAAGGGACTACACCAACCCGTACCTGCCGTTTGAGTCGGTGCACAAAGCGGCGGAGCTTGCGGCGCCGGCGGATGACGGCCTTGGGGGCAGTGGGGAGTCGAGCGTGCTGCTGGCTATGGTGCGTGCGCACGCCCGCACCTTGCAACCACCATGCAAGCTCTGCGATTGCCGCCAGGATTCTTGGCTGCAACGGACACCTCGCTGTGTCCGGCCATCATTTCAGCCGCTTGCGACCGTCATTTGTTGTCTGCGTGCGCAGCGAGCGACCCTTGCAGCCCTGGTGACGAAGCGCCTGCGTCCACAC